AAATATATATAGATAAATCACGTAAATTCTATTAATTCAATTCTATTCTTTAATTCAATTTTAACCTTTTAATATATATATCTTTGTTTTTACATTTATATATAAATTAGAGATATATATAATTCTTATTACAAAAAATAAATTTTAATTCTCTTTTATAAATTGTTTGTGTATTTTATTTCACAATACTTATTAATGGTCTCGGAAGAATAATACTCGCATGATCCTTTTAAAAGCTGTGACAGACATTTTATCGGGAGCTCGCAGTCTGCCCGGCTAATCTGCAGATTGTCGGATTACAAGGAACTTTGTCTCTGTAATAATTTTGCTTGCACGAGCGACGCATTCACAGTATCAAATTTGCGATCAACGTATCTCTATCATATGCGTCTCCGCATAAATATCGCAGTGAATACACGCGTGCATTTTTTTTTTTTTTTTATTTTTCGATGCTTCTATCGCGAGGTACTGAAGCAAAACGCAGGAATAATTAAATAAATATATAGCAACGTGGAAAACTTTATATCATAACGCGCGCGCGTTCGCCGTTTGCGTTTCCGCAGTTACGAAAAAACAGGTCGCGCGTTTTCTGCAAGCAAATTAAACAAATTAAAAAATTGCTCCCCTTTCGCGACGGATGTCCATCTCGATGCGAGTTAACAAAATCGCTTGACGTTTGTAAAAAAATATATAATATATATCTCTCTTTGATGGTTGTCAGAATGCGCGCAACCGCGTGATGCTGCGGTATTTTCTGACAATAAATTTCATATTCGTCAAAAGCATACAAAATAACAGTTATCGAATTTATCACAGGGAATTATTACGTTACGTTAACATTCACCGTCATAATCGCATATCTGTCGGCAACATACGTTAAAAAATACAATTCTAGGACATCGCGATCGTTAATCTTTTTATTGGAAAAAACGTCGCATTCACTCATCGTTACAATTACGCCGATTAACTCTTACACGTTGAAAACATATTAATTCATAGCCTTTGATTATTTTCAATTTCCGCTTTCTGAAGAGTCAAATACGGGAATCTGGAATAGAGCCTCGGAGGATAACTGTCGGCCGACAAAAGGCGTCGAGGCGTTTCACATGTGTTAGTGGCACGCCTCGGGGACGCGTTTTCGCGACGTTTATTGAGCCGGCGGGAGAAAAGTCACGTCGGGAACAGACTTTTTCTGCAAGAGAGAGAGAGAGAGAGATCCGGACCACCATATGTACTTATTGAGCCGGCGGGAGAAAAGTCACGTCGGGAGAACAGACTTTTTCTGCAAGAGAGAGAGAGAGAGATCCGGACCACCATATGTACGTACGTACATACGTACCAAATGTTAAAGTGGATGCCACTGTGCACCCCGACAACGGGGGAGCCGTTTAGAGTTACCGCGGGATTTTACGATCGTACTAAAACCCGAAAGCTGTAGCATGTACAGCAGCTTCTGTACACGTTGCCGAATGCATACCGAAAATGTGTATCAGTAGGTTGCTTGCCCGAACCGCCGCTCAAACAATACACGCGTATCCGCGGCTATAACTGTCGCGCATGCAATTTTGATGAAGAGATTCAGAAGCTGCCGTAAAAAAAAAAAAAAAAAGAACCGAAAAAAAAAACATCGATCGATGTCGTGTTAGAAATTGGCGCGGACTCGAGCTTTTGCCTCTGTATTCTATCCATCGGTGTTCATCAGATTGTGTCATAAATATTATTTCTATAGGAACAACACAGAAATACGAGTTACAAAATATTTTTGAATGTAAATTACTAAAGGAGTTCCGGGACGTTTTAATTAACACAGACACGTTTTATGGTAATTTTTTTTCCACCACTCGTTAACTTTTAATTACAAATAGTCCGACTAAGAGATCTAGGTGAATGTTTTTAGCCGCGCTTTCCTGCGCATAAAAGGAAACAAGTATAAATTCGTGTTTCAGAGAGTCAGAGAAATAAAATGTACAAGTATGTAAAAAATATATAACTAAAAATATTTCTCCCTTTTTATTATTATTCGTTTTATATATTATTATAATAGAAATCACTATTATCATTAAATTTTTATATATCCACATTATATTTTTATATTATTTTTAAATGTTAAACTGTGCGCGGAGATGTAATGTGAAAGTTTGTATAAAATTTTCTCTTTCTCTTTCTCTCTCTCTCTCTCTCTTTCTTCTCGAATTTTGTACGCGAGAGCAACGCGATGATATCACATCGATCTGCTTGCCGCTCTGTTACAGCTGTACCTGACGTCGAACGTCTCGTCGAGCGACTTCAACATGGGTTACAGTATGACAGGCACGCTGGAGCGCGGCTGCAAGAAGACTAACTCTTTCCAGATGACCCACTTTGCGGTGATACGGCGACGGGACTACGAGAAGGCATACGAGGACCCGAATCCCACCTAGTGTCCGTCCACACCCACGCTCTCCGAGTGTGGGGATTGCGAGCATTACACATAGTTGGGAGGCAAGGGGCCGTCGGGAAGAGAGAGAGAGAGAGAGAGAGAGAGAGGGACAGATACACTTCCGCATGTATGTATCGCGCGAGGAAGCGCTACACCCGCCGATATTATATATATATATATATATATATTCTGCTTAGGCATACGACTTGTATAATTTTTATTTGTTTACTAAAGCCTACGTCAAGATTCAATTAGCGGTTTAATGGGTTACACCGGTATCTCTGTTATCTCGAATTCTCAAGGCACGTCATTTTCGTATGTCAACGAATTCGAGATTAAACGAGACCTGACAGCGACCTGGAAACCAAACAGCGGCACACTTTGAAAAGGTAAGAAGAAAAATCAAGATCGGATAGTTATTATCGCGGAGAAACGAAATACCAAAGCCGAGCGTGTGACGGCCCTGCGCGACAGAGCCAAAACGTCCAAAAATAGTCCTTAATTTAGATCGAATTAATTAGCTCTTAATGAAAATCGGTAAACGATGCGTATATACCTATAAGCGAAGAAGAGTATACAAACGGGACGACGTTGATCGGGAAGATACGGGAACTGTTTTACCAAAGTACTAGCACGTAAGTCACTTGCAACTTTCTGCCACGCGATAACCCGAGATCGCGGTAATGCAATCTCTTTCAATCTAACAAGGTACACTGCTTCTCATCGATCGACGCATCGATGGCCGCCACCGCCGCCGCCGCTTCGTCGAGATTAATAAGTGGTTAGCGACTAAGGCTTTTTCTCGGTGAATTCATGACGACTCAGCTGCCTAGCGTAGAATTATATGTGCCAACACAAAGCCATCGTTGACGAGCACTGTACCTGACAATTATTACGAGTCAGAGCGCAAAAACTGAACGCAATATTGAAAGCTCGAGCCGGATGCGAAACGATATTTCCAGCCCCATTTCACGCTTAACCTACATGTAGACATATATGTAGAGTCCAAAAGATATTTAAAAAAAAATCTATAGAATCAAGCGATTAAGACATAAAAAAAGAGAAGAGATTCAAACGTCTTGGTGCACACACGACATTATCAATCGGCAGTTTTTTGAAATAACAAATTGTCCAGTTTCTATAATTTTATTTCATTACAATTCACATAAATAAAAAAATAGATAATCAGAACATTTTATCAGCAAAAAATATATTGTTCTCTCTTTTTGATATTTATCATAATATCTAAAAATTTGCTTTGTCTCTTTAATTCTTGAATATATAGATTAATGACTCCGAAAAGATTAAGAATTCACTTGATTTATAACTTTAGTTATCAATTGGTTTATTCGATCGTATCTTTGCCCATGGACAGTTATTGCATTTTGAGTTTGATGGTTTGCAGGGGTGGAAAATTTCATATGCCGGGGCCCGTGTCAGAGAACGCCGGTTATAAATATCGTTTCCCTGGTCCAGGCTTTATAAGCAGTATATAGCTATATAGCGTGTAGCCGGCTTACAAGGTATTTCAAAGCTTGTTACGCGCCCCTTTCTTTGAGCAATCGCCGACGGACGTCGCTCAAGGAAGGAAGAAAGCCCCGCGAGAGAATGAGAGCTTCGCTGCACTGACGCCGGACACAAAGCGAGAGATCTCTCTTATCTTACGTTACCTTACATATGGGATCATCGTGAACCGGTGTTGTAACGCATAACACGATACTTATTTTTGCTAAAGAGTAGAAAGTCGCTCGCACCAGTCACACGATGCATCCCGGTAAAATCTAAGTCAGTGCTCACCGATCGTTCGTTCGGAATAAAAAGTGGCTATCTGCGAGTCGAAAAAAAAAAACAGGAAGAGCCATCATTGATAAAATGTAAAAAATTCAAGATTTGCAACAAGAGTCTTTCTATATTATATTCATAAATACGAGATTAATTTGTGTTAGCGAGTAAAGTTACGATTTTATGTCGCGTTTAAATGATGTAAATTTATTGTTACTTAGCGCTTTTTTCGTGATATTCGGCAATATTGTCAATGTTATCGATGTTACATCACACGATTCGAATCGATCTTCTACAATATATAAGAGTTTTAACGGCAGAAATATTTGTTTAAATAACGGTGAGCACATTCCAAACGCAGATTATTGAATATAAGCATTTATTCACATGTAGGAATAGAAATTAATTTTATTTAAAACGAAAAATTAAATTTGATATATTTATATCCTGATTTGTAAAATCAATTAAATATTTCATATACAATTTTAATTAACATACAAATAATTATTTTACATTGGTTATTTATAGTTCAGAAACAGCTTACCCAGATATTTTTATTTTCTATTTTAAAAATACTCCTATTTTGCCCATCTCTGTTTACTTTTTGGAAGCAATGAACGCGACGAACGAGCGGTCAAAAATTCTACTATAATGAACTCGTGCGTAACTTCCTTTATAGTCCTCGACGAGAATCTAGTACCTTCCGCTTTTGCTCAAAAAATTATCTAATGCCAAATAAATATTACGTGCAATAGAGCGCAAGGAAGTTAAGTCGTTTACATTTTGATATTAGAATATGTGTTATAAGTTTCCTCGTTTAACTATCAAGATAAAGTAAAATGCATTTTTCGGCGTTAGACAAATTATAAAGAGCGCTTTTATTATAGCTAATTATTATTAGCGTGAGAATCTCCCCAGTCTAACTAATCCTTTCAGTATAAATATAAATATCCTGAAACTTTCTTTTTGTTAATTCTATCTTCAAATTTCTTCAAATTTTAATAAATTTTGTATGAAAGGAATATTTTAATATATCTTGAATATCAAAATAAAAATACGAGAATAATTTAATAATCGTCGAAATACAATGAAAAATAATATTTAAAGAATGATTCCTTTTTTAGGATTTAATAAATCGCTATTAATCTTTAAACATTTTTGAGTTGCATAGTTTTAAATTATTAGAGACGCTTGATTTTTAATGTGTAACAGATAAGAGAAATTGATGTGCAATACATATATGGCGCAAGAATACTGAAAGATTCGTTGTGACTCATTGTTTTAATTTTCCTTTACTTTAATATTGATGCGACATGCTGACGCTTTTCTCGAATTAGCGTAAATAAAGGCAATCGAATCCAATGGGATTTCTCGAGCCTCTCGTTCGAGTGGAATTACATGTTACAGGGTTTAGCGTTGTTTCGCAATTCAAAATGTTGAGAAGATGTCTTCACACTATTTCTTTCAGTAATGTTTATACGCGATACTTAAAAAAACTCAACACTCTGATAAAAAAATTTAATTACTGGAAAAAGAAATAATTTTGTAGGTTTATGTTGCTCATTATATAGCAAACTCTCGTTAGTCTGAATCCTCCTCCACTTTGAAGAGAGAGAGAGAGAGAGAGAGAGAGATCTTTCTCTACCACGACCTACTACTAGTTTCGAGTTTATCCGAATTCGCTCTAACGAGAGTTTATTACACTCGTGCTTTACCACTGTATATGTGTGTGTAGGGATTACGTTCGTTATTACACTATCCTCATTATTTGGATTGCGAAAGTCAAATAGGAAATCGATAAAATAAATATACCACTGCATGTACATATGGTATATATGATGTGTATAAAAACCCGTACATATATACACTCACATACACATACACACATACAATAACAAACTTCATAAGTAGATGAAATTTTGCAAGATCCTCGTTGGTGTTGTAGAACGTTAGATTATCACTCGTTAGAGACGCTTCTTTTAGCCGATCTAGTCCTTAGATTTAGCACGGACCGCCCGTTATAGCTAGATTGTTTTCGATAGCGGTAGATTATATACCAAAGGAATTACACCGAGAACACTCGTAAAGTAAAATATTTTACGAGCTCTTATAAGCTCGTTGATGAGCCATTTTACTTTCATAGTATCCTTGCTCCGGAAGATATTTCTCTAGGAAAACATAGCGTTTCGTTCGATCCATCTTTCATCTTACTTGGCGAGAAGCCTCGCTTTCGTTCCGAGGCACCGCGCCTCCTAAATTCAACAAAGGAATTTCCGTCGCCGAGCGAGCGAGTAAACTCAGGCGAGACGACGACGTCTCGTTTAGCTTCCTGACTTTAAGATTCATGACCGTCGGTTTATGACCGCTTTTAGTCGACTTCGACTAAGAAGAAACCGATCTATGAGCGCATTACTTGTTAAGATCCCCAGAGAATTTTCACAGATATTCAATATTCTTCTATACTATCTGTGTGTCGTTTACGACCGAAATTTCCGCTGCTTTTTAAAATATTCGCAAAACACGACGAATATTTCTGACTATTGCAGCGAAGCGCAACGAGATGTTATCGATATTATAATATCAAAAAATGTACCATGTGGATTCCATCCATTATGTATCCATTACATATCCGAACCCATTATGTATTGAACAAAAAAAATTTAGACTCGATTTTTTTTTTTCGATAAAAATGCGAAATATGAAACTTTTTTCAATCAAATCACTTAAATGCGATCAAATTTTCAATTAAATCTATTTTTTAATACGTATTTAAAAATTATGAAAAAATGGCAAATTGAAAATTCTCGCTGTTCATGGTATATGATTGTATGAATTTGAAACATTCTGTATAATTATTATTTTGGCGTATCATCGATATAACACGCTGTATATTATTGAATTCGTGCTCGCTGCGAGAGTTCTCGGTTTCTCCTTCGGCAGAATAATATTATTGTCTCGCCTAAAACGTAGTGGTCGTGTTTTCACTTTTTGGGATAGTCTTCTATAGCCTTCTAGAATGATTTAAGTAAACACATACGTCCGATATCACGGTCCCTCCTAACTACTTAGCCGTAGCTGGACCCACTGATGCACGCTTCCTTCGAATCTAAAGAGGAGTCACTTATCTTCGTCTTCGAGCTGCACAACGGGTCTCTAGTCTATCTTATCGCGTCACGCTATCTAATTGCATTCGAATCGTCTAAGATGTATTTAAAAAAACCTTTAGACATATATATATTTTTTGATAGGTACATTTATTTATGATTCTGTAAATATATAAATATCTTCTCAAGAATATTTAATATATCTTATACTTAATTCAAAGTATAAGATATTTCTTGGAGAGATCTGTTTTTATTAAAGAATTTAATTT